CACTGCTGTAGGATAGTTCCATGCTCCCTGATGCTGGGTAGAGGAGAGGACAGATGACCATCACACAGGCTCTCCTGCACATCAATGCCATGTTTTGGTCCCAGTCCACAATATAGAAGATCTGTTCTAGACCAGACACCAGTTTGGTATTTGAAATCTGCCACTTCCTAGGAAAGCCAGAGAAAGAACATCTCTCCATTCCTCCTGCTAAATCTGGGCCACCTGCCATGAGGAATGCAAGATGACTGGATCAAAGAGGAGATGAGGAAAGGGCAGTCAATCACACTCTGGTTTCATAGCCCTGCTTAGTGGGTTTGCAGCAAGACACTTCTGCTGCTTTCTCACCACACCTCAAGAAAGTGGGTTTTCATCTCTGTCATGCCCCTTCCATCCATTCCCTTTATACTTGGGTATCTCCTGGCCTTTCCCAGGGTTTTCTCTTCGTAAGTTCTCAATACATTAAGAGGATGTAGGCACTCCATTTTAGGAGTAAGAAACATAATTATCTATTCAACTAACAGTGTAAACATAGCACAGTTACATCAGAAATGCAAGGTTGTAAATAAAGAGCACACACGCAGCACGTGTTCCCTAGCGGATTACCCCACCTCCCAGTGATTTGTGCTCAGGTGCTTCCTGAGCCAGAGTGGATTGTCTGGGAAGATGAGATGTTTTGCACGTCCTGAACGTGACAAATGTGCACATGCTGACTGCGGTTTGTCACGTGCAGTGAGTCCCACGGAGCAAGAAGCCTCAGAGTGATGATAAATATATGTTGAGCTGTTGATGTGAAACATGGTCAGGACCTGATGTAACACCCAGCTATGGTTGGTGAGACCTAGCAGGTAAGTCTCAGAAAGGTGAAAACAGCTACCTTGGAGAGGCTTAGCTCAACTGAAAGCTGCTGAGCAGTGAAGAAACCTAATGCATTGGAGCAGCTTGTATCTCACAAAGGTGTTCTTGGATATTGTTCATCCTTGGCATCACAGCTACACTCGACTCTTTACAAATACCTGAAAATTGCTGGATGTGATAAATCTTTTAAGTTCTGCTGTTCTAATCAAAATTTCTCATCACAAATATTAGCAGAAAATGGTGCGTGGATTTTTCAGCTCTGTAATTATCATTATTTTTCATTTGAATTAAGATCTGAGATGCAGGTTAGACTAGACACCACAGAGGAAGCCAAGAACTCAGAATCAAGTACGAATCCAGTAAACTCTAAAGGCCTGAGAAAGAGATAACAATGTGTATTCAGTTGAAGGGGGGTGTAGAGGCCCCGAGAAGTTGACTTTAGTCAAGGAGTGAATTGTAGTGGTGTTTTTTTCCCCTTAACCATGAGTCATCACAATGTCACTGGGAGAAACTTCATAAATTATCTGAGTGCTGCTTTGTGATCTTCAGTTTGAGAAGGAAATCCCTCTGCAGGCTTGGAGAACTTAGCAGAGACAAGTAAAGCTCAGAACTGGGCTGCATGCAGTGTCCAGTAGCAGAGAGGTAAGAGTAGGTGAGGGAGGGGAGGAAGTGGATGGTCTCCTCTCCTTGTTCCTGATGTGGGGCTGGGACATAGAGGATTCCTGCTGGGAAGGATACATGCTCCCAAGCTGACAGGCCAGAGCTCCAGGAGAGTCATTCAGCACATGCTTTTTTTCTACGAGTGTAAATCCACGCCTACAGCTGCACTGTGTCAGCCAAGGCATTGCTCCTGGCAGTTGACAGTTTTATAAAGATGAAGGTCTCTTCAGCTCAGCCCCAGCTCTGTGGATTAGTCCATATGCCAAACACCAAGGGAAAAAAGTATGCTCCATGCAGGTAGCTAAGAAAGTCACAGGCGTCTCTTTCCTGAGGCCCTCTCCCAGGTGCTGAGCATAGGAAGGAGACTTGGAGCAGAGTGAGAGGGAAGGAGGTGAAGGAAAGAAGCAAGAGAAACAAACATTGGGAGCGTGTGTCTACAGAACTCTTCTACCACTTCCTTCCTGCCCTGCACCATCAGCTGCCCTGGCAGAAGCCGTGCAGAAAGGAGAATATTCAGACAAACACAGGGTCAAAAGAAGTGTGCAAAGCGCAGAGTGAGGGGAGGAGAGAGAAACTCAACCAGTCCTGAAGGTGTTTTTGTTAAGTTGCTCTGAGCAGACAAGCTGATGAGTAACTGAGATGGTGTGTGACTTCTGCCATGTCCCTGTCCTGGCTGTCCCCATCTTCCTGCCCCATGAGCTGTATTCACCTGCTGTGCTTTATCATAGAAGGGGAGGTCTCCAAGACTCTCTGTGGTGCACAGGTGTAGAGCAGTTCTGTGGTGTGCAGCTGAACAGCAGCTCTCACATTGGTCAGGCACGTCTGAGTCGAGGACAAGCTCTTGTATGTCAGTTCATAGGTGAAGTCTGGGCAGAGAATCACTGATGACCCTGAAATCAAACACCCTTTTTATCCACTCTACACAGCAGTTTGGGAAGTGGCCTAGAGAAAACCCTTCCTCCTACACCATGGGTGGCAGATGCTCAGAGGCAGCAAAAAACTCAAATCACCACCAGCCTTGATCGCAACCACTGCTTTTGTAAGTTAACACCAGCCCTCACTTTCACTGCGAGGAAAGGAGGAAAGTAACTGCACCCTCTGACACACAGCCTGGCAGCAGACCTGCTGAGTACTGAGATGTCTTCCCCACATAGCAGTGAGGATTCTCTTCTATACTGGATCCAACTTTTTTTGAAGGCATGAATATGTCTAAATTACTCTACAACTTCATATTCACCTACCTTACTTTTGTAGGCTGAGGTCCATGTGAGATTTTGGATGCAGTGACACATGGCATGAGAAATGTTGGGGCTTTTAGCAACTAAAATATGATTGTAGAATGGGGAACTAGCAGATAGGAGAGGGATGGTTTTGTGTCCAGGGACAAAACTTCAGATCCCCCTTGAGAGAGCTTCAACATACCCACCAGACTCCAGTCCAGTTCTCAGAGGTGGAGGGATGCAACCCTCTGGAAAGATAATTTGGCCCAACTGGTGCAGCAACCACCAGCCTGTCAACACAAGAGTGGAGCAAGATTTACTCTGGGGAAGTGGAAGGCAGTCTCAGAGGGGGGTCACACCCTCCACTGTACTTCTATGCTCACAGCACTTTCTCAGTTCCTCTGTCTGAGGAGGTGCCTTTCAAACATCCCCAGCTCAGGGAACAGCTTGTTCTGCTGCTGGTGTTGGGGGCAGCAGGTGCCACTGGCCTGTGCCCTCTTGCTTGCCAGGACATCTTCATTTAAAACTGACTGCATCGGGGTACTTGATGGAAGTGAAGATCTCTGAACATGGGACAGGAGATCCTCTCTTGGTGTCTATGGCTGTGGCCAGTACTGTGCTGCTGTGAGGGTCTTGCAGCTCAAGGCAACCTGTGTCCATTTTCTCACACTGTTCTCATCATCTGGTAACCAAACTAAGTCAGGGGACCTGATTGCCCTTCAAGCTCTAGGGATCTTGCAAGGCAGGTGCTCTGTTAAGCATTCAGGGTTGACCTGTTTGTGCCACCCCAGGGACTGCTCTTGCCCACATGGAGGGGAGGAGATGCAGGAGACAATCCCACTGCATTGGGAGCAAGCCGCTTTCCCTTGGTCTGCTTGAGATGGGCCCAAACAAGCAATAAATAAATGTTCACAGGCTGCTAAAAGCTTCTCCCCTGCGTGAACTCAGGGTTAAAAAAATTGCACACACATAGTGTGGACTGTGAAAGCTCATGTGCCTCCTCTGTCTAAAGGGACTGTTTCTGCCAACACATCTCCTTGTGGAGTTAGCAGGATTTAGTTACCCTGGAGTAGGTGTCCACCCATAAGAGAATCCTCAAAATATTAAGCCAGGTAAGACCTCTTTTTATCAGGAATGTTATACAGTGGACACCTTCAACTCATAAATAGAGTAAAATACAATTTTTAAGGGCACACACCACCATTACAGCGCACCCACCTCCATATTTCTCTATTCCCTTGGAGAATACTTCTGCATGGAAATAATCCTGCATCTTTGCAAGAAATGCTGCCCCTAGCACTGCTTAACACAACCCAAATGCCACATCTGCTTTTGTGTATGGTCATCTTGAAAAGGTGGAGATTTTTGTAACCACTCCTGTTCAAAGAGCACCAAATTTCTTTGCCTCCATCTCTTAAACATGTATATTCTTCTCTTTGGTCTTGTCTACATCCTCTAACTGCCCTTACTTCCTGTTGTTTCCCAGAGGTATCAAACAGATGTTGTTGGCAGTTTCACTGACTTTCTATCATGGGTGTAGTATCGTACTATGAATTTGTCTTCTTCTTTAAGAGGAGGGAGGAGAGAAGTGTGAATTAGACAGACCTGACCCACTATGTTGCAAGTGTGGAGGTACACACCAGTGGCCAGATTCTGGTTCTTGTATACAAGGTAGTCTCTGACACAACAGCACAGTTGGACTCAATGGTCTTAGAGCTGTTTTCCAACCTTAACGATTCTATGATTCTGTGAACTACCACCACCCACTTAAGATGATTCCCCCACCTGAGTGACCATAAATGTTACCTTAATTTGGAAGTCTGCCTCTGAAATCTCTGTAGTTTGCATTTCTTGTTATTCGGTTAAAAAAAATAAAATAATTTACTACTAGGGCCCTCAATTTACTCTGAGAATTGTCTTTAGTAATTGATCAGCAGCTCAGTCTTATTTATGAGGCATGGTTTAGGAACAGTCCATGAAACCCCGTTTTAATAGACAGACACCCTTTATAATAAAATGAAATTTCTTGTAGTCAAGAAATTCCTTGTGGAAAACAGCACTTTTTCCCGGACGTAAATCAGACCTGACTCCCAGGGAGTCCCCACAGAAGACTAGCAGGACTTGGAAAACTTGCCTTAGATGCTTCCTCAAGCATCCCACTTGCTCCCCTGACATGTCAAGTGGGCACCTACGGGGCCATAACCGTTACTGACACATTTTTAAGTGATACAATGCTAACTTTCCACCTTGTCTTCTCATTCTCAGGAAACACCAGCTGGAATAAGAATAATGGAAGACTGCCTAGACACAGAAAATAACTCCACTTGCCCAGGAATTCCCTATGAAGAGAGCCAGCCACTTCTGGTTGCTGTTTACAGCATCGTTTTTGCCATAGGCCTTCCAGCAAATTGCTTAACTTCCCTGCTTACACTGGTACAAATCCAAAGGAATAAAATAATTGCCATCTACATTTTCAGTTTATCATTGTGTGAGCTGATGTATATAAGTACCTTGCCTCTCTGGATTATCTATGTGCAAAACAGGCACCGATGGACCATGGGTGACACTGCTTGCAAAGTAACAGGATTCATCTTTTTCTGCAATATATACATCAGCATTCTGCTTTTGTGCTGCATTTCTCTGGATCGTTACGTGGCACTGGTGTATCCTCTGGAATCAAGGGGGAGAAGAGGACAGAAAAAGGCCATCATAATAGTCTGTTTTCTTTTTGCTGTGGTTGCAGTAATCCACACTCCAGTATTTTACATGGAAGATGAACAAAACCACACAAATAGAACCTGCTTTGAGACTGTGCCCCTTGGCATAAAATTGGCTTCTTTCAGCTTTGCTAGATTCCTATTCGGATTTGCCATACCCTTCACAATCCTCATTTTCACAAACTACAAAATTTTTCAAATTACAAAAAGTAGCAGCAGCTTGACTTGTCACCAAAAAGCCAAAGTGAAATATCTGGCTATTGCCATTATTGTAATTTTCCTGATCTGCTTTGCTCCCTACCATGTGGTACTCATAATAAGAGCCATACACTTCATGTTTAATCAGAATTGCCCATGTCCATTTGAAAGGAAGATATATTCGATTTTTACAGTGTTTCTGTGTTTAGGCACTGCAAATGGTGTTGCTGATCCAATCATCTACGTGCTGGTTAGTGAAAACATCAGAAGAGATTGTTACAGGAGCCTGAGGAGATGGAGATTGAACTCATCCAAGCTAAATTCATCCATTAATCACAAGACTGAGAGTAGAAAATCAAAAATACAAGAAGAATCAGGGGAAGAAGGGCAAAGGGAAGAAAACAAAGAACTAACAGATTCGCCCAACACTCAAAAGACCTGTACTAGTGGCAGAGACCAAGAAGGTGGCAGCTAGCGGGTAGATGTTGAAACAAATAAGAAGTTCCCAATGCCAGCTGCAGGCTGCAGACTGTAGGACACAAGTATTTCCATGCTGACATCATCTTGCATGTCCTGCATGGGTCAGCAACTCCTCGAGGACACTACGGGAGCAATAATTCTTATTTCTTCTGTTTGTCTCCTACAATAAACTTTGCCCACCAGTATCATCGGTGAAAATATTGATTTGCTACGGATATGTGGAATAAACCAAGTAATTTACTTTGACTCAAATTGAAATCTTAAAAGGTTATTATTTGGACTGATTCCTTTGCTCACATGAGGTAAAATCAGGTTTATCATCTGAGCAAAAAAAAAACCAACCCACTGCTGAGGAGAACAACGTGTCTTTCCTATGGCTGACATTTTTGCTTCTTGAGGAGGTACATGTTCAGAGTCTCATAAATGCACTCTGCCGTTACTGTTTGTGGTTAACCAGTGGAAAATATTAAGAATGAGTAAGTCTTTCAACGAGAGCCTTGAAAATGTTTCCCATAGTTCTGTATGCATTGCACATTCTGGGGGAATTAGAGGGCAAAACAGTGGCCTGGTAACACAGAATGATGGTACTGCTGCTGCATTAGTCAAGATCCTGCACTGTCCTAAAATTCTTAAAATGTGCAATTCTAATGTCTGACGGTTTACAGTTAGTAAATTTTACTTGTTTTGCAGCCAAACCTAGAATGAACTGACACATATAGAAAACTTAGATATTTCCAAGTGGAGTCAGGGACTCTTTTTTGCCATCTCTGAACATTTGTTGAGCTTGTGTTTCATTTCTGAATAAGCTAACATTGTCTATAAAAGAGCCAAGTGCCTTACTGACATGGAAGGGCTGGTAGCCTGGAGAGCAGAGTCCTTTCTCCCCATAGCTGGGAACTCCCTTGGACATGCTGGAGGTGCACACAGGAGACCACCCTGCAGCAAATTTCTTATTGATGCTACCATTCTTACTATTAATAACTTACTGATGGTAGTTCCCTGTGCCTTCAAACCAGAATTTAAAAATTAAATATTGTACAAATATGGCAATAAATGCTTCTTCATATTTTTATGTGATCCAACAGACAGAGATCATGAGTCGATCTGAGTACGAGTTTATAAAGTGTTTCACAGCATCATTTTGTTTCATCTGTAATTTTGTATTTCTGTGATATTTTAAAACTGTTATTTGTTCATATTTTTTAATTGAACTAGTATTAGCCAATGTTAATATTAATGTAAATATATTGGTTTTTAATATATTAAAATTGCCATTGATATTTCTATATATTATGTTTTATTCTTATACTTGTTTGGGAAGAAAAACTGTGCCAAAATGATATTTCTTCAATTCATTATATTTATTACATATTTATTTTTTTATTACCATTATTTAATTGCTCCTCTGGTATCTACATATGAAATGTTTTTTCCTCGAAAGTAGCTCACATAATACTAAATTGGAAAAATGTGAAGTTCTGTTGAGATACTAATCAACAAATTCTGTGTTTCTATCTTCATACACATCCCAGAAATCAAATTCTCTGAGGTATCAAGAAGAGATCAAAATATCAGAATGTCTGTAACTTTGCTGAAAATCAAACTTTCAGCAGCAGCTGAATACTGCTCCAACACTGGTGACACATTTCTGAAGATGCAAATGCAAACTGCCCCAGCCTCAGGATTTTCATAGCCTAAATGTAAACTCTGGTGAATAATATCAGTGAATTTAGAAGAAACCAGAGGAACAGGCTTCTGAACTGATTGAAATGGATGCAAATTAGATATTGACCTCAATGAATTTAAAAATCTCTCTGATGTTTTTCCTCTGATAAATAGTGAGTGTCTAGAAAGGTGATTGTCCCACTCTACCCTGCACTTGTGCGGCCTCAGCTCAAGCACTTTGTTGTAGTTTTCAGATCCATGATACAAGAAGGAAATAAAGCTATCAAAGAGTGTCCAAAGGAGGGCTACAGAGACAGTGAAGGGTCTAGAGGGGAAGTTGTAGGAGGAGTGACTGAGGTCACTTGATCTGTTCAGCCCACAGGAGAATGAGGGGAGAATGGGAAGCAGAGGGGCAAGTACCGATCTCTTGTCACTGGTGACCAGTGATAGGACCAAGATGAAAGCATGAAGTTGTGTCAGGGGAGGTTTAGGCTGGATATTAGAAAAAGGTTCTTCACCTAGCGGGTGCTTGGGCACTGGAACAGGCTCCCCAGGGCAGTGGTCATGGCCCAAGCCTGACAGAACTCAAGGAGCATTTGGGCAATGCTCTCAGGCATGTGGTGTGACTACTGGGGATGGTCCTGCGCAGGGCCAGGAGCTGGACTTAATGATCTTTGTGGGTCCTTTCTCACATGGGATATTCTGTAATTCTATGAACAACATTAGAGGTCAGTGCCACAGATGCAAGGGACAGGGATTATCAGGATCTGATGCAACAATTGTAATTCTTTTGCTTCACTGAAGTTACATGTTGTTCTAAATTACTATATCATTATGCATCTTCTCTTAAAGAAAATCGTTGGAATTTCTTTGTTCAGACACACTCTGAACCAAAAGCCTCAGAAGTGGCAAAGACCCATGAAGTCTGATCTAACTTGGAAATTTACCCAGATAATCTCCAGAGGTGCTTTCCAAATAATTCTGTGACAGATTACTGAAAGTATTAGGGGCCAGGTATCAAGCAATGTATCCACATGGAAGAACTACCAATCCTGACTTCTTTGGATAAACAGAAAAGCAGCTTTACAGCTGAGAGAGGACATATAGAAATGCTATTCTGTGTTGTTAAAATATCCCATCAGACAAACTTGATGTTTCTTATCTGATAAATTAAAGCACGTGATCTGGTTTGTCAGACAGTATCTGACTGTGTCACTCAGGCAAAGAAAAGGTCTCAGCACTGGGATACATGTAAGAGACTCAGCAAGGGGCACTACTCATGTCAGAGCAGATCTAAGGGGTGGACTGACTGTGTGGGTCTTTCCACCCTTTCCTCTTGCAGAGACATCCCCCTGCAGTGGGTCTGCAGGGACTGCTTCGTGCTGTGAAGAAAGGTTCACTTGCTACATCAGATCTGAATCTCAACACAGCTATTCGGATCCGTGCACAATCTACTCACTCAACTCAAGCTATAGCATGACTTGGAGAGTGTACAGAACCAAATCTAGGCTCTGCCTCCCAGTTTGGTCTTCACATGCTCAGGTCTTCACACATAAGGCTCAGAGCAGGTGAGCTGCTCATCGGTGTATGGGGTTGAGATTGGAAAATTTCACTCTCTTTTGTATTCAGCATTTACTCAAGTATAACTTCCATCATTTAAAGAAGAGTGGGTTACTGAATAAATAAAACATGATTTTATTTTTACATGTGTCTCAGACATTCATAATGTGCCTGAGAGATAAGTGGATTGCTGATTATTTTAAGTATGACTGTAAAGCGTGAAGTGAATAATTTCTGGCTATGAACTAGAGCTGGCCAAACTAGTTTTTGCAGACAATATATCTGATCTGTTTGCTTATTCATCAATTTCTGCTGTTTCTAAAGACTGTAATTTTTTATGTAAATGTTTGGGGTAAGTCACTTACAAAACTCTATTTCTGACTAAGAAATACTTTCTGTATTAAATTTTCTGTAAATAATGTTCTGTCTTAAATTTTGCTTCAAGAGGATAGTTACACAAAACAGGCAAAACCCGATATGAATTTACTCAGACTCTATGTGTGATACAGTTTCATCTGCAACCTTGTAGTTGGTCTCATTTAGTTCCTGCTCTCATGTACAACCCCATATCGAATCTTTGTTGGGTACTGAGGGATGAAACCTAACTCAAAAATATTTCAAAAATATCCAAAATCTAATGGTTTTTCTTTGTGAGCATATTATCATTCTACAGCTCACACTGTGGGACACGTCTTTTAGGAAACTTCCTCTATGTAGTGAAATGATGACAAAGTTCCCTGACAGGTTGGAATGCCTGTCTTATTTTCAAACCAGCACAAACCAAAGGCAGCAAATAAGGGTGGAGGGATTGCATCAGAGAGATGCAATCCTTTTTTTAACCTCCTCGGTGTGCAGGGAAGCATACAGCTGTCAGCATCCCCAAAATTGGATCTCCCAGTATGTCTTCTGCAACCAACTTATAGAGGATGTGATACCTACCAGTCCTCTACCTTCTGAGGTGGTTTTCACTCCTCTGCACTCCCTCTTTCCCTGTAAAATGAACCTATGCACAGGAGAGGGCGCTTATATTTGCAGCAGGGGGATGTAGCATGGCCTCACGATTCAATCTTCAAGTGACGAGAATATGAAGCACAAAATGAGAAATCTGTTATCCCAAATGGGACTAATGCTTACATCGTGGTAATAGATGTTAGTAGCTGCCATCATGAGCTATTGGTAAGAAAGGGTAGAACGCTCAATTCATTATGTATCATCTGTAATTCGCATCATGGATAACTGCTAGGATTTTACTCTCTTACTCCATCCCATAAGAAATGCTCTGAGGTAAGGAAGCAAAAAGCAGCCTTGCAGACAGGTAGAAAGTCTGCTGAGGAGAGATGATAAGGTGTGTGGTAAGAATTGTATGAAATATCACATGAATATTGTTTACAAGAGCAAGCTCTCAGTACACCACGAAATGATCCATCCTGTTTGGTAGCCTCAGTCTGTGACAGGGCCTGTGCATTTCAGCCCTTGATCACAGAGCATCCCCTCTATGTTCAAAGGTCTGTCTCAAGATATTTTGTGGAGGGCGATGAAGAATCAAAGAGAAGAGAGATACTGTGGGAAAAAGGTGCTGTGTGATAAACAAAGTCCTGAAAAGCCTTGTAAACCTGAAGTCGCAGATGTTCTGTTCAAATATGCAAATATCCATGTTCAGAAAGCTACTTAGAAATGCAGCAGCCTGTATCACAGTTCCCCATCTGTAAAATGTGACACTTCTTCCCTTGAGCATTGTCTGGCTTCTCAGTTTAAAATACCAGCCCTTGCAGGAGATACTAGAAAGAGTGAGCAGGTGTGTGGTATGCATATTCAGAGCTTATTGCAATGGAGCAGTGAAGAGCATGGAGGCAAATATAAGGTATTAAAGCACAAATTCTAATGGGTCAGCACTTTCAGGGTCAGATTCAAAGTACTTTATTTGCTTCTATTTATGCTGGGGCACCAGAAAAAAAATATGCAGACTTTCATTTTAACTTTGTGTCTCCTTCTGGTAACATGGGCAATAGACCCTTGGGGACTTTGCTGGGATTTTCTTCACTGGGATGTTTTGGTGTTTGGAGGTGTTTTGTTGTTTCCAAAATATGAGTGATACTGATCT